CCCCAGCTTCACGCTGAAGCCCCCTCACCCCGTGTGCAGGGTCGCAATTCCGTAGCCCCCTCTGGACTTTGCCTTGGCCTACTGCTTCTGGCCCTTGTGCCTGCCCAGGCACTTCCCCAACCCTGAGACACCGAGACAGCCTAGCTCTGGCCCCGCCCCCTACAGTGGTTGGCCTTCCTTCAGTTTCCTTCCTCTACTTCCCTGCCCACCCAGTCAGAGTGCCTCAAAGTCAGCCGCCAGCCCCCTTCCTCCCACCCTGTCTTACCGTGTGGCTCCAGTCACCTCCCCATGCACCTGTCTTGGTCATCCAACACTCTGTTCCGTGGTCCCTTTTAGTTTCTGAGAATGGGGTCCCCTGAGGGCTTTGGGAGTCTTCAAAAAGACCAGCTTTCTATAGGGACCTGCCTCCTCTAATCCAGCTACCTTGAGACGACCAGTGTCTTTCTTTTTGAGTTAGACGACACCTTATCCTTGGGGGCTGCGTTGGACGCAGGAGGGCGCATGCAGGATTCCAGTCCAGCAGTGAGGCCAGCAGTGAGGGGTTTTAGCCATCGCACTCCCTTCGCCGTGATGGAAGGTGGGGTCACCAGCTGTGGTGCCGGGCTTGCCTGTGTAGGGTGTCCTGTGATTAGTTCAGTCCAGCCACTCCACCCGGAGGCCAGTCTCCAGAACAGCGCTTTCAGAGTGATGCTGGAGGGTGGGTACCTGTAGGCACCTGAGACCCTTGCATGGCACCATGAGCTAAAACTGTTGACTGCAGTGACAGTTGCCTACCTTTGCTCTTCCTAGAGTACAGTGGAAAATTCCAGACTGTGTGATCATTGATGGCCTCACTCTGGACAGCTGCTGGAACCTGAGCTTGGGTGTTGTTTGTGCTGTGTCTTCTCTTGGGGTGAGGACCATGTCCCGAAGGTCCCGCCTTAAGCATGTACTCGGCGAAAGTCCTTTCCCACTTTCCTCCCCAGCGAGAAACTCCAGTGACAAGTCTCCTCAGATGCTGCCCTTGTCTGCAGCCTGGACATTGCCTGGCCCACCTTTAATAGTACCCACCTCATAGGCTTCCGGGGATACGAGCGGAAAGATCCTGAAAAGGACAAGGATCCAGGGCTGTTAGGAATGCAAGTGAGTCTGAGTTCAGTGCATTCTGACTCCACCCTGAACCCAGCTCCCACCCCCACTGCAGTCTAAGAAGACCGGGGTGGGGATAGCACATAATAGCCATTTTGGACCACGGCAAGCCTGGTACCAGAGCTGGTTGTGTCCAGCCTGTCCATCACCATGTGGGCCCTGCTGTGAGAACAGGACAGCATATTTGTTTCCTGTAGCTGCTGTAACACAGAACCAGTGGAGAGCTGAAAGCAGCTGAAATTTACTTTTCAGATTTCCTGAATGAAACCAGAAGCCTAAGACCAAAATGCTGGCAGGGATGGTTCTCCCTGGAGGCTCCAAGGGAGCACCTGCTGTGTGCATCCCTCCTCACTTCCAGCGCTGGAGCTGGCAGCTGCGAACTTAGGGATGGGTTGGTCCAGTCTCTTAGCGCCGTCTGCCCGTTACTTCCCTCTGTATCTTGTGGCTTTGTCTCAAGATTTTTACCCCAATTTTATCTACAAAGACCTCTATCCCCCACCCCCACTTCAAATTAGGCTACCTCACAGCTTCTGGGGGTTAGGGGTTGGCTGTCTCTTTTTCTTTGCTCATCCTACTGCACGCAGTCTGGAATCGTACCATCAGTATAACGGAGACCGGGTCTGACCTGACAGCGTCGAGGCCAGACCTTCCCACGGTGCTGCTGCTGATTAATAGGCCCTCTGAATGTCCGAGAATAGAATTGGCGTGTGACGTTTTTCACTGTTTTGTTGATAAGACACTCCCTCCCACCCCCGGAACCAGTGAGCAGTGTATTCAACATTGCCATTTCTTGGACTGTGGTTGGGTTAGATATTTTTAAAACTGTATTTAATCATTTTTTTAATTGGGAGGTGGTGGTACATGTGAATAGCATGTCACACGTGTAAAGATCAGAAGATGACTTTTGGGAATTGGTTCTCTCCCTCCACTGTGTGGGTCTTGGGGATGGAACGCAGGTCATTTGGCTTGATTAAGCGAACACTTTTACCTGCTGCTCTTGTAAGTCCGCAGCACAGAAAAGCTTATCATAAAACTGTGTTCAATTTAATACTGTTCCCCTGATCTGATTTTAGTTGTCCTGATGGGTATTGTAAAAAAAAAAAAAGAAAAGAATATGTATGTGTGTGGTATATATAATATACATTTCTGTTTCTTAATTTCTCAGATTAATCTGTTGTTTTCATGCTATTAATTTAAGAATTTATCTCCTACCCTTATGCCCACCCTCCTCCTGAGTTGATGAATATATAATTTTAATTATTATATTATTTTAATCCCACCGTGTACCTTTCTACCTTTCTTTGGAAGCCACGTTTTCTGCTGGGGCGGTGGGATCCGTCTGTGACACTGATTCTGCACAGTCTTGAAATCTAGCAGTGGCTTACAGGACTGAGAGACAAAGTTGACCTGCTGAGGCCTGTGCTGGGGTTCTCTTTACTTCTACCTTTACATGGGGTTGTTGGGAAAGATAAGTAGTTTTACATAGGAAAAGCGGCTGAGCCTTTGCACGCTTCACTGGTTGCACGCCAGTACTTGAGTGTGCTTCTCATTGGATTGTTGTTGTCTTGTGTCCAGATTGCTCCTGTATTTACTGGAGTTCATAGTCACCTTAAAAAAAAAAAAAAAAGGAAAAGTCGTGTGCCTTTGCTGTGTCCTCAGGTTTATCTAATATCTTGATCATGCTCTCTGCACAGAATTACTTTGGTCCTAGGATCATCCCCTGTGGACCTTCGGCCCCTGCCTCCCCAAGCCTCCGGGTTGCCCTTCACTCCTGGTTTCCTTTTTTTTTTTTCCTGTATGGAATATATATCATGTAAACTCCCCGTTCCCTGCCCTCCAGCTGTCCAGTATGACATAGACACGTAGTATCTTGTTCTGGCGTGGATAGCCTGAGGTTTGTTTCTCGCGTACCACTTATTAAGTGTTGAGCTCTCATTTTTTTTACTCACTGTTGTTATTATGCAGAACTTCTCATAGCAAGGGATGCTTTTGTGCACTCAGCTCACACCTCTGCCTGATTTCCCCCAGCATCCTCTCCTGTCTCTCTGCGCCCCTACCACACACACTGACAACAGATTGTCTTACTTTCCACTTAGCAATTTCCTGCATTCTTTTTTTCTCTTTTCCTATTTTGCCAGTCTATACCTCTTCTTAGATAAAAACCCCTGTACTGATTCCTGGAGCTTTCAACTTTTAGTCCTCTGCTGTCTGTTAAAAACAAAAATTCCGCCGGGCGGTGGTGGTGCATGCCTTTAATCCTAGCGCTCGGGAGGCAGAGCCAGGCGGATCTTTGTGAGTTCGAGGCCAGCCTGATCTAAAGAGCGAGATCCAGGAAAGGCGCAAAGCTACACAGAGAAAAAAAAAAAATCCATGAAAAGCTAGGAATCTACTCATAGAACAGTCTTGGAAAATAGAACCAAAAGAGTTGCCAGGCGGTGGTGGCACACACCTTTAAACCCAGCACTCAGGAGGCAGAGCCAGGCGGATCTCTGTGAGTTCGAGGCCAGCTTGGTCTACCAAGTGAGTCCCAAGAAAGGCGCAAAGCTACACAGAGAAACCCTGTCTGGAAAAAAAAAAAAAAAGAACCAAAAAGTAACCACTCATGGCTATGCCCCAGGTTGCTTGGTTTTGAATCACCTCTCAGTATCTCTCCCCATGATGTGAAAATTAATGAGGAAAACATATACCACACAGGGCCTTGTCTTCAGCAGTCCCAGGAGCAGTCCCAGGTGAATGCAGCATTCACCTATTTTCTAGAATTGTTTTTTGTTTTCAGTTTTTCAAGATAGTTCTTTGAATATATCTCTAGCCTTTTAGAATTATTATTTAGTCAAGAATATGTTTAATTTCAGTGCTTTTTTTTTCTCTCTCTGAAGTTGCTTTTTATGGCGTTCTCTTTGTTCTGTGCATCCCACCATATCTCAGATTCTGTTGAGAATACTGATTAGAAATTATAGGTTAATATTTTGTTTCCTGGCTTCTCTCTTTTTCCTCTGGGGTTGGTGGCTTTTTTGCTTTCCTTTTCATGCTAGTGATTTTCATTGGCTGTCAGGTGGCCCCAGGTGTCTGTTTATATTTAAGGTGGATGGGTGGGCTATGTGGATTTCCTTTGCTGGACTTAGGTGGGCCAACTTCAAGGGCTGGAAATCTTCCTTAGAGCCTCTGTAGGGCAAGGAAAAGGGAAAAGGCAGCGTGTGACTGCTCCAGTACCAGACAGGCTTCATTCTGGGGTGCCACCAAATGTGTGTGCGTACGTGCATGTGTGTGTGTGTGTAAGAGTTGGGGTAAATGCTAGCTTGTCCCTTGATCTGAGCAAGGAGTAGATTGGGGTCTAGAGTGAGTGAATCTACACTACGGAGGCAGAGGCGCTCTGTGGTCTGCCTTCTCCACACCTGCCTAGGCCCCTGCTGGGCCATTCTGATCTATCATCACCTTTGTGTGTCATCCTGCTTGAGTCTGCAGGAGCCTTTTGAAGTCTGTTGCGTGCCTGGCCTGCCCTAGGACCCCTGCCAGAGCAGGGGCAGTGTGCTGGCAGGCTCTGGGTAATGCCCTCTCCGACCCCCTCTTGCTAGACAAGATGAAGAGTGTCCCTTGGGGCCTGCACCTCCTTCCTACTCCCCTCTCAGGGCTAAGTACCATTGGCCCTGCCCGGGAGTGTTGATGGCATGCTTTCTTTCCCTTGCCTGAGCGCCCGTGCCAGAGTCGGCCTTGTTGCTTGTTTCTTCCTCGGACCTGTCATCCGCTTGCATCTCAGGTGTGGGCTGAGAGCTGGTCACGGGCTGGGAAAATGGGCCCCGAGGGTGGCGGGAGGCAGTGGCCTGGCCGGGCGGTGGGGTGTGGCCGAGACTTAGCTCTGCCCCTGTCTCCCGCAGGTGAGCGGCCCTTCGCCTGCAGCTGGCAGGAGTGCAGCAAGAAGTTCGCGCGCTCGGACGAGCTGGCGCGGCACTACCGCACGCACACGGGCGAGAAGAAGTTCAGCTGCCCCATCTGCGAGAAGCGCTTCATGCGGAGCGACCACCTGACGAAGCACGCCCGTCGCCACGCCAACTTCCACCCGGGCATGCTGCAGCGGCGCGGCGGGGGCTCGCGGACCGGCTCGCTCAGCGACTACAGCCGCTCGGATGCCAGCAGCCCCACCATCAGCCCGGCCAGCTCGCCCTGAGCGCCCGCCCGCGCCCGGACCGCGCCTCGCCCCCTTGGTCATAGGAAAGCTGAGCGAACTTGAGAAGTCCACAGCAAAACACTTTTCTTCACCTCAGGTGTCAATTTTTAACAAAAAAAAAAATTGTTTTTTTTTTCAAAAAAAAAATATATACACGACCCACAAATTGCACAATAGAGCTAGCCACGAAGTTGAGATTCAGCGGTGTTGAAACCCCCCCCCCCCCCCTTTCTCAGGGATGGACGCGGTCCACGAGGTCAGTGAGGGCACGTCTTTCTGCCGCCTTACTCTGTACATAGATTTGCACTCTGGAGTTTTCTGTGAGGTTGGGGGATCACTGGGGCAGAGCAGGCCAGCTGGGAACAGATGTGGCCACTGACATTGTGCTTTCGCAGCAGGCCCCCGCTCCCCCAAAGGCCTGTACCCCTCTTCCTGCTTACCACTCAGTTGCTGTCCTCTGCCCCTCGGCCTGGCTCAGAGCACAGGTGGGTCTGAGGGAACTGGCCACCTCACAGGGATGTGGTAAGCCATGACAGACCATGGGAGCACGTGCCTGTGGAACTGTGGAGAAGGACATCTGCCTTGTAAGCGTGGTCCTGCCTGGCTTTCTGCCTGCAGAAATCCTCAGAAAAATGGAGGCCAGATGCAAACCCCGCCTGGATTTGGGACACCATTGCTGCCAACAACCCAGGGAGGCGGCCCGGGCCCTGCCTGCCCTACAGAAGGCACCTGGGACCCGTCACCCTCACACCACGTTCTCAGACTGGGAAATAGTGCCCTGGGCACGGTGTGCTGAAACTGCCCCCCCCCCCCCCCCCCAAATTGGTGGTGTTTCATCCAGTTCCCCAAGTTCTCGTGCCCTGGGCCACTGTGGAGGCCTCTGTTTGCAGCAGGACCATCATGCCCCCTCTTCCGCCTCTTCAGTCTGTGTGTGTGGCCCTGTGGGTGGCAGCGCTCACATCCCACAGAGACCGCTGGTGGCAAAGGCATTATCTATCGGCCGGACCTCCTCAGAGCAGCACAGCAGATGTGATAGGAGCTGATGATACATACTGGAGAGACAAGGACCCTGCTTCTGCGGCGGGACACCTCGTGAAAGTTGTGGGGGTCACCTTCTCAGAACCTTGAGTGGAGACTTTAGCAAACCCACGGTTCCACACTGTTGCACTCCCCACTTCCGGCCCTCTTTTCTGCCTGCCCTGCCTCGGAGGACCCTAGCCACACCCAATCTGCAGGGTGGGGATGGGGGAGGGGCTGCCGGTAAAACAGCAGGAACCGAAGCCAGGCCTGCCCTGTTTCTCCTGGAGCCCACACCGGGGCTGGGCTTCAGATGTTGGGCCTCCTTAGCAAGACCATGTTCTGGTCGCTCTTCTGCAGATCCTTGGAGTGTCCATCTACTCCCACCCTGCAGAGACCCAGCCATTTCCTCCCCTTCTCCTAAGAGCTGAGGCCTAGGAACATAAGGCCCCAGGACTGGATATATATGTGTATGTGTGTACGTGTGTGTGCGTGTGCGCGCGTATGTATTGGGTGGGTGGGTTTGGGATGGACTTGAGGTGTCCTCCAGAGACCTCTCTTCATTTCGATGTGGAGGATCAGCCCTTGTGACTCAGAGGGCCGTAGATGGGCTTCCTGGGCCCAGAGTGCCTTGGTTGTGGTCATTCTGCCTGTACCCCAGCCCTCACACAGTGTAGGGGGGTAGCACAGGGAAAACCCAGAGACCATGCCCAGCCGGGTCTGTCTGCAGTTTCTGGCTGTTGTCATGTGGCTACCTTGTGGACCTGGGACACCACTTTCTAACTTCCCATGTCAGCTTTGAGAGGCTAATGGCATAGGGTGGCTTCTGGTAGTGCAGTAGGTGCTGAGCTGGGCTGTGGCATTGTTGCTGCCGAAAGCAGGTGTGGTGGGTGTGTGTGTGGGGGTCCCTTGCCCTGGTCCAGTGCAGGGCTGGTGACAGCCCTGCTTGCATTTCATCTGGGGAAGAGAATGGAATATGTGGTCGGGACCTAGACTGAAGGGAGCCCTGGGTGCTTGGGGTGTGGCGATCTTCATGCTGAGTTCCAAAGTGTCGTCCCTCCCAAAGTCGGTGTGTGAGGCAGAGAAAGCCACACTCTGAACACATTTCACGTCTCAGGAATTCACATTCCAGATTCAGGAATTTTATTCCAAAGTCCTTTGGTGCACCTGCATCCACGGTTCTGAAGACAGAGGGAGGCAGCAGTGTGCCTCAAAGGCCAGCCGAGGTCTCTGTCTGCTTGTGCTCTCCCCCAGAGTCACAGAAGGAGCCTTTCCAACTCCGCCACTGCCTGCACCTAGGAAGGGTAAAAAGGACTCTAAGCCCCATCATCTTGGAATAAAAGAAAGAGCTGGTTTGTCGTAGTAGAGCGGGTTGGGGGTGGGTGGGGGAGGGGAAAGCGGGCGTAGGCTATTTCCAAAGAGCACTTAATTTAATTTTTCCTCTGAATGACCCAGGGCTGTTCCATCGGACGGATGGAAGGGTAACGTTGCCTTAAAACAGAAATATGCAGGCGTTGGCTATTTTTGGCAAATGAACGTGTCTTCATTCCCAAAGTGGTTCTCCTTTAATGGCAGGGTGTGGTCCTTCAGCATGGGACCGAGGCACCCCTCATGGACCCCTCCCCATATCATCTGGGGCTTCAGTTCATCTCATCAAGGGGTGGGAGGAAGGGAGAAACAGGACTAGGCTCATTTCCAGTGGGTTCTCATTAGGTTCCCATCTCGTCATAAACAAGGGATACCTTCTAAGATGCAGAGGCTTCCCAGTCTGGGTCTGTTGCGGGGTCTTTGATTTTTTGCGGTTATGGCCATATTTTCTGGTTTCAGTTTGACTGAGGAACCCATAGGGTGCCCAGAAATAATATGAAAAGTCAAATCTTTTTTTTTTTTTTTTTTCAAGGGACGGGAGGCAGAGATCCCACAATGAAAGTGCCTGAGTGAGGGGAGAGTTCCCCACCGCAGTGTCTAAAAGGAATTCTGGACTTCAGCCATCAGGGGGCTGGAGTTTAGCTCATGTCCCAAATGAGAAAGCCCCTCTTTGCGTCAGCCATATTAGGGGGTCAATGTCTGTTCCCCAGATGCCTACTGAATCCTACAGCCATACAGAAAACAGCCCTTTCCAAAGAGGGCCCTCGGTTCTCTCTTGATGGGTGCTACGTAGGGATGGACAGTGATGCCCTTGATGGGAGTGTGGTCCTGGAGGTGCCCTACCTGTGTCCTGCTGTGCCCCCTACCCACAGGACCTAAGTTCAAGGTCCCCACCTCCAGCTCATCCCATCTCAACTTTGTTCTGAGGCCAGCATTGGGACAGGCTCAGGATTCACCAGAGTGCAGCTTCCAGGTGCAAAAACCTGCACCCTGGTGAAGGGTGATTTAGATTTGGGGAAGAGGGAAGGAGACATTCTGTGGTTCCAAGGGAAATGTGGCAGAACAGAGGGGTTACCATTTCAGACTTCTTCCTCCCAGCCTCATTCTGTCCAGGAGGCCGGCCCTTTTCTTGCCAGAAGCAGGTGCTACATACAATGTACACAGGGTCACAGCATTTCCTAGAGGCTTCCTCTGGGATCTCCACCAAGCAGGGGCACCGTCCATGTAAGACAAATCTGAGCAATAGCTTGGCCTCGTTTCTCAGCTCCCGGTTGTGGCTTTTTTACAAGGCTACCTATTTGGACTTCTGACAGGTGTTACTGAATGCGCATCCCCCACACACACACTTTACAAAAGGTCATTAGGTCAGAGACAGTGCTGGAAGGTTTATGTACAGCCATGTTGTGATCAGTAAAATGCTTTGTAGGTCACCCACATTTTTTTTGCTGTCCAGAGTTTCCATATGTGAGTCCTGGTGGCCATATCTTTCAAAGTGAAAATCCAGATGTGGACTCACTGTTTTGAAATCGGGATGGCACGAGGAAGAGCCAGGCCCCATGACTAATTTTCCTGATTCTGAGTCTTCGAAGGTTTGTCCTGGACACATTCCAGAGAATTTTGTACCCAAACATGGATGCTCAATCCAGCTAACTACTGATAGAGGCCTGAGCACTGGTGAGGGAGAGGCCCTTCCTCTTGCTGGCTAATTGACCTCCAGCGAAAGGAGCAGAACTGGCCTGGAGGCCCCAGGCCACCAGGGGAAGGAGGCTGGCTTGTTTTCCGTTGACTCCCTACAGCGATAGTGGTGGGCTTGTCTTGGAACTCTCTAGCTCAGCCCCGCTCCCCCACCCCCCCAATCTCACACAGCTTTAAAAACTTAACTACTTTTATTTAGAAACAAACAGGATGGCAAAGAAGACTCCTCCCCCACACCCCTGGGGGTGGGCAGGAAACAGGTCAGGCATGAGGGTGGGGTTTCTCCCAGCTCTTTCCCTAGGACACCCACTGTGGGTCTGCTGCCTGTGCTCAGGAGCAAGGGCAGCCTGTGAGCCAGGCTGCCCTTCTCAGAACCGAGAGCCTAGACTTGGGAGTATCTCTTCCCCAGGAGAAGCTATGGCCACTTCTCACGTGACTGACACTGCCTGGTCATCTGCTCCAGTGTCATACTTGAGTTACGAGAACTACCCTGGTATGTGAGAAGAAGGATTTCTCTGTTCCCCATTGCACACTGGAGAGGCCCGGGGTGCCTAGTGCAGGGGACCCCAGGGACAGTAACACAAGCCTCCTTGCATTGTGGGGCCAGAGCTCCTGGCCTTCCATGGTGACTGGATATCCCTGTTGTGGTTTCATTGGTTAGGCCCAGGTGACTGCTTCTCATCCAAAGCCATCGGTGGAACTTCTGTGGGATCCTTTGCCAAAACCCCAAGGCAAAATCCAAGGGTCCAAGGCCATTTCCATCAAGTTCCAGGTTTTCTTTCCTATAGGAACTTTTTTTTTTTTTTTTTTTTAAACAAAACCCTAGCTCCCAACATGCTTCCAAAGGCCATGTTCTGTCTTTCCTGGATCACTACAGTGAAGTATTACAGTTGTACAGTTCCCAATCTGGCCTTGGCTTGCTCGGATAAAACTTTGTTATGTATTTTGTAAGGCATAGATTCTATATTGTAATGTCCTATGCAAAAGAAAAAAATTAATGAAATTGTAAATTTTATTGTTTTAACATGTATGCATGTTTAGTGACGTTTACATTTTGAAATAAAATTTATGATTCATTATTTTATTTGCCTAGGTAACTCTCTTGAGGGGTGTGGTCAGCCGAGGCTCTGGGAGGGGGACAAGTTAAAATCTGGAGAAACGCCAGCCACTGACTGGAGGGACAGAACCTCAGCTGGGACTTTGCACAAGATCTCTGGGGACAGTGGGTTGTCTTTTGGGTGTGGGAGACATTTGAGTTCACTGACTTTCCCTCACTCGAAGTCAGCAGAAAGGACATGGAGGACATGATGCCCGTGTCCTCAGAGGGTTATATGTGTGTCCTCTAGTGTCCTTTTTGTTAGTAGTCACTGTAACAAATAGGATAATCGACCCAAAGAGGAAGGGGGTCTTCTGACGCATGCTTTCACAGGGTCCGCCATAGGCAGTTGGCTCCTTTGCTGTAAGCCTGTGGTGAGGCAGGGTGTCCTAGCAAGAGGGAGTGATGGAGCAAAGCCATTGACCTCCCCATGAGGTGGAAGAGGAGAGGGAGCCCAGTTCCCCCTGTGCCCTTGATGGGCACATCATCATGATCTGAAGACTTCGGCTCTGCCGTCTACCAGCATTACCAAACCCTGGGGAGCAAGTCTCCACATGGACACCCAAACTCTAATGCTCCTGTAAGCGTCTACATTCTCCCTAGATGCAGCCACTCTGTGTCTAAGATTCTAGAAAGTGCCCATTTCTAGCCACAGAAGTCACAAGCCAAAGTTCACTGCCTAGGGAAGAGGGAAAAGATTTGATGCCTGTAGACACCAGAGGCCAAGTTCTCTGTGATCTTTTACTGTCCGTGGTTGCTATGGATGCCAGCAATGGAAAACAGCTAGCAGGGTCAGGTGAGTGACTGGGTCATCCCCACCCCACCCCACCCCCGGTCTGTAATAACAGTAGCATGTGGGTTGGGAGATTGGGGGCAGGGTATAGTTGAGACCCACATCCTCAGCCTTCATCCACAGTGGCATCCATACCGTTTCAATCTGCACCTGTAAGTGAAACCCACCAAGAAATTCTAAATATTAACAAAAGAAGGCATTTCAGTTGAAGATGGGTTTCCCTGAAGCCACACTGACCCTGTCATCACTTCCTGGTAGACAATGGTTTCTAAGATCAGGACAGATGTACATGCTCAAAGCACCAGGTACATTAACAACCATAGACAAACACTCATCTAAAAACGTGTTGGCCCAAGATACTTTGCTGCCAGTTCTCAGTTGGAGTCTTGCCCCAGGACAACGCTGTTCACCTCCTCTGCAAAGTTCCCGTATTGTGTAGGAACTTCCGCAGACAGCAGTAACTGCAGGGTGGGTCTGCTTCCATAAATGGTGTGGGGGAAGGGTCCTGGATGCTTTAAAAATACCCACAGGAAAAAGAAATGCCCGTCAGTCATGACGTCACTGCTGAGAGCTCTTTCTAAGAGGGAAGCAGCATTGACGGCCCACCTCAGGAACTGGGGATCTCCTGAGACCTTAGGAAACAAAACACATCTTCTAAAAAGCCTCAGTTTTTACTGATACTTGAAAGAATTCATTAGTACATGAGATATCCAAGTAGCACATCCTTTCTGTCCTCCTGGGACAAGGTAAAGAGGCCCCTGTGCAGTTTGTGGTAGTTTGGTGGAGTGCCATATCTGCCTGTATCCAGGCCAGGGGAGGGGAGGTGTCAGATTGGGGGTGTGGCAGGCTACCATCATCCCAGGGAGCTGATTCTGCCTGTTTTCTTTTAAGTTTTTATTTATTCATTATGTCTTTCACATCAAGCATCTTGATCCCATACATTTCCCCATGCCTTCATATCTGCCCTCTGCCCTTACACCTCTGTAAAAATAAAGTAAAATAAATTTCAGAGAAGAAAAAAAAAAAGGAAAAATCTGGTCATGGAAGCTGTAGTGTGACACAAAATCCTTTTGTCCATATATCTTTACTTGTAGGTGTTCATTGTAAAGAGTCATTGGTCTGGTTCGAGGCATCTGGTCTCTGCCATACCATCAATGCTGGGCTCTCACTGGGACTCTTCTTGGATATCCTGTTGTTGCCCTGTGTCATGGAGATCCTGCAGCTTTGGGTGTGCAGGATCGGCCCCTTCACATGTTCCAGCAGATCATAGATGGAGTGGATGTTGAGGGTGGGCCAACTCATAACCCTGGTTCTGGACCTGGGTAGTTGCAGGGTTGGTCAGCTGGCCAGCTCTCCCTTGTCCTCACCACCAGGGTGAGCTCTTCAGCATTACCCTGGCTAGTTCACCCTATGTAGCAATGAGCAAGGAGTGGGGCCAGTTGTCCTGCTTTCACACCCTCAGGGTTGGCTCTCCCACACCTGGACCATCAGGGTCAGCTCTACTGTGTATCCCAGGTGAGGTGCAGGGCCTGCTCTCCCAAGTACCACAGCTGGTGAGGGGCAGGGGCAGCTCTCCCACCTGCCTCAGGCATAGAGGGGTGTGTGGGGGGAAGAAGAACATCTCTTCCCCACCCATGTGGCAGATGAGTGGGACCAGATCTCTCATGCCCAGACAAGATGCAGGGCCCACCTTCCTGAGTGTTGCAGCTGGTAATGGGGAGAGCCAGTTCCCTCAACAGCTGGAGGCAGTAGGGGCGGGGGAGGACATCTTTCCCTGCCCCCTACCACCACACCACAAATGGAAAGAAGCACTAGCAGCCATGCCCCTGTCACACCCTGAAAGCTGGCTCACCCATGCCCCTGTCTACAGGGTCCACTCTACTGTGCTGCCCAGGCGAGGTGCAGGGCCTGTTCTCCCGAGTGCTGCAGCTGGTGAAGAGTTGAGAATCTGCCTCCTTAAGGGTGGACTTACCATGTGTCCTAATCTGTCCTCTGCTGTTGGGAATGTGGTGTCACAGTGAAGGTTAGTTATAAAGATGAGGTTTGTTTTGGCTCAGCCTTTCCTGCAGACGCAAGCAAGGTCTACTGCCCACATCTGATAGCCTTCCTCCAGGCACATACCGTGAGGCACGTGTGTGCATATATCCCCTTGGGACTCTCTTTTTTACGAATGAATCAACCAGTCCATTATGGGTGTTTCACCCTGATACCGTACACCTAACCACCTCCCAAATACCACACTCTAAACATCACAGTTGGGTTGAATTTCCACCTTTTTTACCACTCACCATGGTTAAACTCAAGCATGACTTTCTGTCGGGAATGAGCCATAGGCAAACCGTAGTACCACCCTTGGTACCAGCTCGCAGACCGTGAGCACCCCATTGCTTGAGGCATTCAAGCAGATGGTAAAACACTGCTTGGCAGGAACACCACGAAGAAAGCTGTGTTCTAGAAGAGTAGCCGAGCACGCACGAGATGGGTTGTTCTGCTTCTAGGTGACTCCTGGGGCATGATCATGCAGACCCTTGGAAACACTCCGTTCACTTGCAGAGGACCTTAAATCACAGGTTAGGCATGTGATTTGTACTGAGGATACAGAGGACTCAACCTCTCCAATCAAATCTCATACGGCCCATGGTAGAACACTTACTGTGGGCAACACTCTTGAGGTCTGTTACATGCAAAGCAGTATGATCAGGTAAAGACCCAACTTCTGACAGCCGCATCCTGTCTGCCTGACTGTCCTGCTCCAACAAGGGTGAAGGACTTTGACTCCACAGCAGTGGTATAAAGGCTAGGCCAGTTTTGACAGGTGGTTTTGAAAAGGCTCATCCTGAACTCATTTCCTATTACTGCTGCTTTAATAAGCTTCCCCAGACAGCAACTGAAGGCAACACACATTGAATTTTTTTTTTTCTTATGAAAGCTTTGAGGGTCAAAAGTCCAGACTGAGTTGTCCTTAAGGTGTCAGCATGACTGGTTCCTTCTGAAGGCTTTTAGAGTCCCAAGTCTATTCCTTGACTTGTAACCCCATGGTCTCTTCCAAGCCATCAGGCATCAGGGGAGAGTAGTCATCTCTCTGCTGTGGGATGTTCTGTATGGCAAATGTGTTGCTCTGATTGGTTAGTAAATAAAACACTGATTAGCCAGTAACCAGGCAGGAAAGATAGGTGGGACAAGCAGAGAAGAGAATTATGGGAAGTGGAAGGCTGAGTCAGAGAGACACTGCCAGCCACCATCATGACAAGCAGCATGTGAAGATGCCGGTAAGCCATGAGCCACGTGGCAAGGTATAGATTTATAGACATGGATTGGTTTAAGATATAAAAACAGTTAACAAGGAGCCTGGCACGGCCATACAGTTTGTAAACAATATAAGTCTCAAGTGTTTACTTGATTGGGTCTGAGCGGCAGTGGGACTGGCGGGTAAGAGAGATTTGTCCTGACTGTGGACAAGGCAGGAAAACTCTAGCTACAAATGGCGCCCAACGTGTTGGCAAGGGTTTCCACCTAAAACCTGAGAAAAGATTCTAAAACGGAGCTAAAAACAGCTTCCTAATTGTCTTTCTCAAATGAGCGGCAGCTGCCGGTTTGAGCTACTGGTGGGTTCCTAGCGTGCGCTCGACCTGCAGTATGGCGGGAATGAGGCCTCTGCAAGTGGCACATTAAGCTGTGTGGTGGATTTAGCCTTTGCTAGTACAAAACAAAAAAAGAGGTTTCTGGGCTACACGCTGCTTGGATAAAAGCATAGAGACCCACAATAGCTCCCAGAGCTGGTGGAAAACGTACCACGCCATGTTGGAAAGCTGAGGTGGGCGGAGCCAGCAGCCATAACTGCTGCAGTTTAAAGCAATAGATTCACAATAAGACAGATTCAGATGTAATAATTTACAATGTGTGTAAAATATACATAGGCTTGAAAGAGACAAAAAAGGTGATATATACAGTTATATAAACAAATACATAGTTTTAAAAAATAAAGTCTTTAAAGAGACAGTAAAATTAATATAAAAAAGCCACGTAAAGATGAATATTACACAGAGAATTTGGATTGTGTTGTCTTTGGGATTTTTAACTGCAGAAAAACATTTGATCGTAAAAGATGTTGAGTTATGCCAATATGTATATTTTAAAGATACTTGGACTTCAAAATTTAGATGTAAGGATGTGTTGCTTTGGAAAGGAGA